GCCTCGAACCGATCTATCCACAAGCATTGTCAAACTCGGCCAGCATTCGTTCCGCTTGTTCGATGTTCGGTGTTATGAGCGCAATGTCGTTTGCAAAGCGAAGGTGATGTAGATAGCGGCCGTCGAGCTTCACTCAAAGTCTTCCCATTCCAAATGTTGCATGATATTCTCGAGAGCGGCACTGAAAAGTTTGAGCGAAATGGTGTCGCCCTGCCGGACACCTCTCTTCACGTTGGTAGTGACTTCCTTGTAGAATGGTGAAATCCTGGTCGTGAAGTTGTCGTAGAGCTCACGAAGCATCTTTGAATATTGAGTAGAATCACCTGGTTGCCCAGGGCTTCAATTACGCTTCAGTCTAAACGGTATCAAGAGTTTCTTCAAATCGATGAACGTAAGACATAACGGCGTTTTGTACTTCAAAGAGTCTTGTAAGAGTGTGGATATGAACGATTGTGTTAAACTGCTTGCTCGCATGGCTGTCCTTCATCTAATATTCTGCCAATCCTGTTCAGGCTGACGCAAGTAAAAGCTTGTAGATTACAGACAGCAGGCAGATTTGGCGATAATTGCCAATATCACCTGGATCTCCCTTTTTATATAACAACACAGTCTTGCTAGTTTTCCACGACGTAGGCACTTTGCCATTCCGACAAGTTCCGCAAAAAGAGCACATCCAGAGTTGTGATGATAACTGGTGGAAGACTCCTCAGATGTTTCGGTTTAATCTTATCGGAACCGGGCGAAGAGAGTCGTCTCTTGGCTACTTGTAGACGAGCCGGCTGTATTCTTCATCGATGTTGTCGATAACGGAATCTTCCCATTCACTCGTAGCGAAGTGGTCCCAGTTGATGGAGGTTTTGGGGCTTTGTTTCCTAACTTTCATAGCTCTCTCTCCTTGCACTGAGAAGCAGAATCCAGCGCGGAGGAGACGATGGTCCGATCCCGTGTAGAACTCCGGGACAACAGCGACGTCAGTCAGGCAAAATCTCCGATTGAAAATGATGTGGACTATTTTATTATGGAACTGTCCACTTGGTAACTTCCATGTCCATCGCAAATGAGAGGGCTTCTGGAACTGCGAGTTACCATAGATGGTGTGGGTCAACATGATAAACTCGGACAGTCTTTCATCGTGCTTATTCCATTCCATTCCCGTGAGTTCCGATGTGAAGCTCAGCAGCCGTTCTTCTGGGGCCAATCTTGGCGTTAAAATCGCCGACGATAACTTTGAAGAAAGTTTGCTTTCCTCTGTACAGCCTCTCCAGATTCATATAAAACGCTTCGAATTCCTCTTCTTCGTAGCTCGATGTTGGTGCGTAGGCAACGAAGATGGATAGAGCTTTGGTTGAGTCGCATCTTCTTAATCGCAAACGTCCGATTTGGGTTGTTGGGCTTTCGTAGGAGTCGATGTTCATGGCCAAGTGCGTATCGACAAGGACACCAACTCCGCCAACGTTTCTGCTGTCGCATGCAGTTCTATGCAACGGGCGGTGCCTCCTATGCAACGGGCGGCGAAAGTTCAGATCGCCATCTTAATCCTTCTATTTTTTGGCGGGTGAATACCCACGTGTAGCTTGCTAGGCTCTGACGTGGGGGCTCTGTTGACTCCAGGGGCTCGCCAGGCTATCCCGAACTCTGCGCGAAGGGCTTTTTTTTGGAGAAGGCCCCGAATCGCCTCCCAGATACTTCCCAGTCATTCGAATGCAAGCTTTTGGCTGAGTCGATGGGCGGATACCAATTGCACCCACAGACTCTTCACACAAGTATGCGTGGATAGTGGATACGCCTGCGAGAAAAAAAGGTATATCGACCAGCACAGCAAAATCAAGGAGCCTATCCCCTGAATCCACCTGCATCTGTGGGCAAGCACCGGTGACTTTTGATCGGCATAGGCAAAATAAGTACATTTAGTAAAGAAACTAAAGCAAGCGGCAGTGGATCCTACCATATCCTTCCACTGATGTAAGTATCCAAACCTTCCTCTTCATAGCGCGCCATTGCGCGCGATCGGATGTGGCGTGCGCGACGTGATTTTCAGGTAGAAGGTACCACATGCGATACTAACAATGGTAAAGCGTCAATCTCAGGCGCAACCCAGATCGGGTCCTTCGGAAACTAGTGTACTCGGTTCACAATTTTCTTCCATTTGGTTAACAACCCAAATTGGTCAGAATAAGGAAAACAGTGTTCTTATGGATTGCGGATCATCCATTCGTGCTATACCCATACTCGAAGGCTCATATCATAAAAAAAGTACTAGAGAAGAAAACCTAACTTTATCTTGGCATCACTTCCCCCGCTACATACGATTTATGAACGTCCTGACCTCCTTTATTGCCCACGACTTCTCTTCCAGTTTATTATTTCGACAGTTTTGTCACATTTTAGGTGGAAAAATTCATTACTGCTCATGTTCCCGAAATGGTGGGTAAACAAAACCCTACGAATATGTTCTATATGACAGAAGATCAGATGAAAATGGTTGAACGCTTGAAACTACCGCCGCTACCTGACGGTTACGTTCTCGGTAAGCAATTGTTGATGCCGTCTAAGTGAAAGATCTAGAACCAATGTAAGTAAGTAATGACAATCCAAGACAGACAATGATAATACTTGCAAAAATTTGGAAATCCTACCCCTAACTCAGCATACCGTTTTCCCAGATGAACCCATTTTTGTACTGGCTACGTAGTACGTACAGTGCCACACGCAATGAAAAAGCGGACCGCTACAGAAGCCAGTGATTTTGTACTCCCAAGGGATGCTGGTGGTGGCGATAGCGACAACGGTGGGTGGGATGAAACGCTCGGTCAAATTGAGCGTTTACCAAACGCGCTTTGATCCTTTCGCCATATCTCAGCAATCAATCAATCACGTCAACCCCTTTTGATAATTGAGCCCTTCATCTATCTCCGTTCGAAATCGTAGTGGCGTACTGAACGCGTATGTGGCCTATAAAACGACTTGCAGTGATCAGCTGCTATGCAAATCAGTGTTTTTTTTTCTCCTAGACAAGTTCGGCACCATTAAGCGACCCCAGAGGTATAGAAGGCTTGGTTGGCTTGAACGTATATCGAACCGGGATTCGAATACGTGACCGTACGTGTGGGATCGTGCGCCGCTTGCCACTACACCACCCCCGATTCATGCTATATGCACTGTTGATAAAGCGTCAAATACCATTCGCACTAACCTGCCAATCAGACTGTAAACCTTGAAATTCGTTTACAGATCCGGTATAATCTGGTCTCTAGTCAATGGACAACCGAAAACAGCTGAGAAAAAACTACATAACTGCGAGTCATGGAATCGCGCGGTAAACATGTGGCATGGGAAACGTGCGGTCGGAGCTCCTTCTTGAAACAACAGTTTAAAGGGCACTGCTCTGAATGGAAGAATTGTTGCGCACCATGAATTTTTAGTTTGAAACACCTTCCAGATTTGTGCGCAGCTCGCCTATCTTGAAAATGAGCCCGTCCACAGTGCTAGTCGTGCATACTTTCCTTCAGAGCATTCTTGGTTAGGATGCGATCTTTTTGGTTTTACTTTGCCACCGTAGTTCTTACTCCGCCAGTCGTGGAAACTTTACTTATCTCCCTTCGATGACTATATCCACCGTCGACAGTGATGGGTATTGGCTCGGTTCGTGAGGGTCCCAATCGATTAGAAAACTAGAAAATGTTGAGGCAGGCTCAATGAAGCAGCACCTTATATGAAATCGTTGTTTTAGGGTCATCAAACCCAGACAGCGATGCTGAGCTTATCACTGCAATGTGGGTACATGCCAAAGAAGGCGACGTCGAGGAAACAAGGTTTTGTTGATACCATTTCGAAATGAAGTGTTCCACTTTGAAATTATGTCAAACTCCTGTAGGCCGATCGATTATTCCAGGTCCAAATTGAGTTGTTTTCCATCGAGTTGCATTCGATATGAAGGCAAGCCGGTTGCATTCGAAATGGTATCACAGGCAGGTCAACTCACTGCGCTCTATGTACTGAAGGAACATCGAGGAAAAGGTCTAGGTCGAATCGTCGAGTTAGACCTTTGCCAAAAAACAATACGGTAAGACTGCACAAACCTTTCGTAAAGATGACCAGCTCTGAAACTTGCCGTCTAACAAATGTTGGATGATAACACGACTGAGGATGTCAATCCAACATTTGTAACTCGTGTTTAGTTCAAACACCACTGTATCTTCTTCGGACAGACAGACAGTCAGACAGACAGACGGACGGACAGACAGACAGACAGACAGACAGACAGACAGACAGACAGACAGACAGACAGACAGACAGACAGACAG